CAGCTTATATTGTGCACGTTTGCCAGCATAAGGTTTACCTACCTGTGTGAGCGTGCTGGTGATCACGGAGGTCTGGCGAGCGTGGCGTTACCTTCTCTGTTGAGTCAGAAAGCAGATTAGTAAACGCTTTATTCCATATGGCTCAATAAACAAACTGAAAGGATGTATTTTACTTTTGAGTGGTATTGCACGTGCGCACGCAAGTGTGTCTGTGTGTGTGTGTGTGTGTGTGGGCGCGCGCTTGAGTTCTTATGTTTTTCGAGCGTGTGAATGAGTGTATGCTTTTAGTTAGCCGTGTGTGTCTACCTCACACCCTCGCCGTCTGAGCTAGACGTGTTTCAGCTGATGGACCTCCGCGGGCGTGATGGTGCTGCCAGCCCCCGACATGTGAGTCAACAACACTGGTGCTCCAGTTATATAGTAATACATAGTGACGCTTGAAACACCACATGTAAGTAAGTTAATTAATACTCTTGTGTACCTTGTGTGTCAGTAGTGTCTTTTACATACTTAGGATTGTACTTCCTGGGTGGAGTGTGTTGATGAGTGCAGTTGGTCTCTGGGACGACCACAACCTGCATCTGGCCGCCAGGTCGTCCTCCACCACACAACACTGTACCCGGGATCTGGTGTGTCGTGTTCTTAGGTTCAGACGTATATTAAATACATTTTTTTGTGTAGAGAATTATTAAAACATTAAAAATATTACAAAGGTTTTAGTCTGTCATAGCTGTGATGCCACTTTCATATATACCATTCTTTCCCTTTAATATCATATCACAGTCTATATATTTATATATATATATATATATATATATATATATATATATATATATATATATATATATATATATATATATATATATATATATATATATATTGATAAAATCATACTAACAAGACTTTTGTTGTTAGTGATTCTAATTAAGACGTTGAGAAGAACATGAGTCATCCCTCAGCTGTGACAAACAACGAAGCTGAAAATTCTCATAAGATGAAACACAAACACCAGTGAGAGACAAACACTGTACGCTGTTGACACACCTGAGGACGAACACATCCCGGCCAACACCGGCTGAGAATACTGAGGCGTGTTTTCTCGTACAATTGTTGATAACCGGTGGCGAGTTGCAGACTCGGTTATGCTTTAGTCATGACCGAGTGATGTCACTTTTTCTACAACTTTTTAAGAGAGCGGCGGCGGGGGTCGTGTGTGCCAGCCTCCACGAGCACAACGTTAGGTACGATACGTAAACATACACATTATTCTTGGAGTTTGCTCTGCTTTCAGTGATAACAGTTGTTGGAAGAACTTGCTCCTGATAAAGCTGTCAATTCCAGCATGTTTCTCATATGATAAGAAAGTCCTGAGGTGAGACACGTACGACGCCCAGACCAGGTCACGGAGAGTCCCCACAGCGTATTCACAGTACAGTAATAAACCTGTTTTAGCTCGAGATATTCCTCTCTGATCAGCTGCTATTATTCTCAGAGTAACAGAAACACAAAAGCTTCCTTATAATTAACGAGTCAGTAAGCATATAAGCCTAAAGAAAACTAAACACTGAACGCCACAAACGGGTCTGGCGTATATACCTCCTGTGACCACTGTATAGAGATGATAAACAGTGACACAAAGGCAATCTAAGGGAAAAAGAGAGAGAGAGAGAGAGAGAGAGAGAGAGAGAGAGAGAGAGAGAGAGAGAGAGAGAGAGAGAGAGGTTAGGTTAGGTTAGGTTAGCAAGAGATGAATCCATGGTGTAGTGTATTGACAGGAGGTTGATTAAGGCTGGCGACAGATAGGGAAGGCTTTGAGGCTTTACTTAACCCCCTGAGGTAACGTTAGTGTCTAATCATTACCTGAAATAAGTTGGGGTGTCTAATCTACAGGTGATCGTGGTAAATATTTTGAAGTTGCCAACGTCTATTTATTTATTGAATCTTATAGAAGGAGAAAGATAAAAAATTAATTATTGTTTAGTTGAAAATATTTTTAAATTGAGTCTCATGAACCTGACAGTACTGAACCAACACACATAAGTTATTAATGAGGTAATTGTGTCCGGCACTGCACTCAACCCGCCCTTGGTTCCCGTTCACAGCTGGTTTACAACTACAGTATGTGAAAGTATAACACTATGTGATGACGAATGAAAAGAAGGAAGAAGAGAAAAATGAAAGAAAACAAATAAAAGGGTGAAAATAATGCTGAAATTTTTTTAAGTAAATAATAATAATAATAATAATAATAATAATAATAATAATAATAATAATAATAATAATAATAATAATAATAATAATAATAATAATAATAATTACACTAGTAGTTTCTGTAAAAATATTTATACATAAGAGAGGCAGACACACAGTAAGACAGGGGTAGGTAATGCTCAGGTGAAGCAGAGAGTAGTCTATTATATCCCACACGGTCAGTGATGTGTGCTGGACTCACATCATCCACCTGGACTCACGCCTCTGTTGTGCTCCACTTGCTTTGGTCCACTGCCCTAATGCTGACACACACACGCGGACGCACACTCACTCACACACACACACACACACACACACACACACACAGGCGATCCCCTAAGTGAAAATTCACCTGATATACAATTAGGGCCAAGTACGGGTATCTGAGAAGTGAAGAACGCCACAGCCAGGCACGATTTCACAAGCCATTTGAGACCTTAACTGGGTCCTCGTACCGTCGTGTCTGAGAATAGCTCCACCATGGATGATTAAAGTAGTCAGTATACTAGGTCTAGATTGGTGTGGAGAAATGGTGAGTGAGGGAAGGGGTGTGATGGGGGAGGGCGGAGTGAGGGAAGGGGTGTGATGAGGGAAGGGGGAGGGTGGGAGGGAGGGAAGGGGTGTGATGGGGGGAGGGGTGGAGAGGGAAGGGGTGTGATGAGGGAGGGTGGAGGAGGGAAGGGGTGTGATGGGGAGGGTGGAGAGGGAAGGTGGAATGGGGGAGGGGGTGAGAGAGGCGAGGGTAGGATGGGGAGAGAGGAGGGGTGGGGATGGGGAGGGGTGAGAGAGGCGAGTGGGTGGGATGGGGATGAGAGGGAGGGTGAGAGAAAACGTTATTGTGAGGAGTATGACAATGTTAGTGTGTGTGTGTGTGTGTGTGTGTGTGTGTCACCTCGTATACCGTTGGCCCAGTACAAAAACTCTTCTGTTCTAATTCATGTAGGTAATCACGCCGGCCGCCATATAAGCTGCGACAATAATGACATAATATTAATGCACGGAGAGTTACCTTATATTAAAACGTCAGGTAAACAATAATATATTTCAGAAGTTATCTAAGACCAGACATATAAGTACACACGGTATTAAAAGGTGAAGAAGTCTCCCAGGTTCTCAGGTGGTCGTAAGGTTGATAAGTGTCTCACCTGGAGATTAGAGAACGTATTTAATGAAGGTAAAGTAACCAGGTAGAGTAATTTACTCACGGCGGTATATTTTATTATTTCCTGTCTACAAGCGACAACTGTTGTCAAATTCCTCGTGTTGTCATACTAAGAGTGTTGTCATATTAAGAGTGTTGTCATACTAACATTGTTGTCATACTACAAATATTGTCGACTTAACAGTGATGTCATAATATTAGTGTGGTCATAATAACAATGTTTCCGTCTTATTGTTGAAGTTTACAAGACACAATATTTGTCACACTACCAATATTATCATACCAGTGTCGTCACGTTACCAGTGTCTAGCCGCAGTTTAAGTGAGACATAACCTCGACACATCTCCAGTTTGGGTAAATTATAACCTACGATCGCTACCGACTCTCAGACCAGACTAACACCACCAATACAGTATGTGTGTGAGTCCTCAGGTTCACTCCTCCAGGACCTGTTATTAATGTGGTCCACGGCTGATGCAGGTTGCTCGTGGGAGAGAGAAACATAACACTACATTTATTTTTTGTGACGCTTGGATCAAGTTTTCCACTAATGTTCGCCAGATGTACATTACACACACACACACACCTGCATTTACTACCGTGTGAGCGGAAACTGCATCTCTTCATTGAATCTATATTATGATGTTTTTCCTTAACACAAATGAAATTCGAAATTGAACACAAAATATATATAAACTTCCGACGTCTTCGGTCATTTATTTTACTCTAAGAATTTATTTCACTAATCAGTCAGTCAGTGAAGGAGTTATCTTCATGTCTGAGGGTCGGCAACCATGGCCCCCACCGTGATCTCTCCGGGGACCACAAGTCTTAGTTTTAGTCATCATCCACCCCTGGTCTCTGGCTCTCCTATACACATTATTACCTTCATCACTAGCATCTCATCCCTAAATATAGTATGACCAACTTATCTCAAGAATAAGATAATTTATTTAATATTATCTAAGTTTATTTACAACTATTTAACCTATTTAAGCTAATGCTAGTTAACTGGGTTTATCTAACACATGTTAACTTTACTTAATACTAATTAACTTTGTTTACCTAATACCACCAAGCTTTGTTTACCTAATACCACCTAACTTTGTTTACCTAACACCAACTAATACTACAGTGTAATATAATCTATAAATATCTCTGGCAGTGACTCACATATTTACATTTAATATTTGAGTGACTCTTCAACAGCAGCTGGAGGTGCTGTTTAGTTTAGGTCAGCGGGAGGTAAACACCAGTCTTCTTGGCTGGCAGCGTCGCGCATATAACAGTGGTGTTGCCTCCTGGTATACGGTGGAGCGTGGCCCATAACTCTACATGGTGCCACTCTTTAGTTCACTTGCCTTCAACGTGTATCTGTCGTCGGCGAAATTTGTCTAGTAAACTGCACTACTTAACCAATATTACTGTCCTCACTCCCAGCTCTAACGCGGCACTGCCTGGCACCTGCCATGGGGTTGGGTGGCTGGGGGGTGTAGGTAAGGGTGCCGCGAGGGCCAGTACAGGTGAGAGGATACGGGGGGGTGGGGGGGAGGCTATTACATTGACTCAGTGAGCAGTAGAGCGCCAGGCGCCGCCACGGTGTGACGTGTGTTGTGCCGCTCTCGTCCCCGCCTGCCTGCTTGTGTGGCGGCGGACAGCCTCACTCCAGAGTCGCCTCCGTCTTCAAGTCTCCCACACGCGACCATGGCCACACCTGAGCCTTCGTCTGGTGTGCTGCCTCCTGGGGCTACATAATATATATAAAGTAGCCCTGTCTGGAGTGTAGTCTTCGAGGAGAAGTGAATAAATTGACTAAAATAGCACTGCGATGAAAACACACAAAGTGTCTACTGTGTAAAATATTGACACGTCTGGTACACAGAGTCAGAATTCACCTTATGGCCTACATGTAACGTGATGTCAAACACTTGGTGATAATCTACACCATAATAAATAACAAAATTGTGTGATATATTTTGTGATGATACAGCGAGGGAAACAAAGGCACAAGTAGAAGACAATAATTGGTGCTTTAGTGAGGGATTTGTTTTACTGAAAAGTTGGATGTGTTTATAACACAACAACGGGGAAATCTTACACCAGTACCAAGTGTGTTGGGCTGGCAGGACTCTTCCCCTCAGCGCCATGATGCTGCAGCTGACGGCGGAAGGATCTATCACCTGCAGACAACTCTTGTGTTCCTCTTAGTTATGACAGTTGGTGTGCCAACATGAAGTTCTTGTTCAGGAAGAAGTGGAAACGTGGCAAGACTTACTCGGAGAAGCTTCCCTGGGTCGTTATACAGGTAAGACAAGTGACCGTGTATGGTGGCTGGGTAAATGGGTCCCAGTCCTGGTGGGCCCCAACTCTGACGGGCCCCAATCCTGATAGACCCAAATTGAATCTAACTATTAGCGCAAGAGTACAGTTCAAATTCACCCTAATCGTAATAGGCCTTTATCCTAATGGCTAGGTCAGGTTGGGTACCATCTTAGGACGAGAGCCCTTTGACCCATGACCCTATATTTACTTCAATAACATCTTCCAGCACTGCCCGGTGAGGTAGGCAGGTCTGTGTTGTATTAACTTCAGCTGACACTCGCCAGTAACACCACGATGACGCTGTACCTTCAGGGAGCTCCTCCAGGCAACACTCCATCTACCTCGTGTTGGTCGCTTCATCTTGCACTAGTCATCTCGACAATATGTAGTTATTGTATTAAAACTGTATCACTGTGTATTATACTTCGTACTTGTTACGTTTAGCCATGTTGGGCTAGTTATTTCCATTAACAACATAATTTATGAATAAAATAGCATCGTCGTATCAACTAGCTCGTGTGTATTACTTGCTGTAGTGTACTGTAATAGTTGCATCAGCGATGATATAGTGTGGAGAAGATTGTATCGCTCTATTTCTTTACTCATGTTAACTAATTGCTGCACCGGAGTGACTCGTCATCTAATTGAAGGCATAATCTGAAGAGTAAAACTTTACCTTTAGATCAAGACCGTAGTAATGGAGCACCAATGTAAACAAGACGATCGTAATGATGCACCAATGTAAACAAAGTCACCGACGAGCTACACTGTTACCCCAAGACCTTAGATTGTAGAGAGAAGATAAATTGTTTACCGTTCTGTGGTCAGCAGGTGAAGCTGTTCACTTGCTATAAAAAACTGTGTACTTGGTTAAAAACGTGGGTGGGTGTTGACAGAGAGCGGAGCTGTATGCGTGACGGCCGCTTGACTCGGGAGACTTTTGCGTCTCATATTTCTAAGCTTTAGTGAGTGAGTGTTGTAAAGAGAAGGTAAACGCCATCTTCCTTTAACATGAACAACGGTAAATATATTGTGACGCTTGTGATCGATAACTTCAATATATTCCTGATATATCGGAAGTTCGCTTTGATGTGCCCGCGGGAACAATTATAATAAGTATACTATATTACTATAAGCTATTAGTAAACAGCCTCAGTACTAACTATACACAAACTCATAACTGGTAAAGTATTTCTAGCATTACCCTGAAAATCTGAAATATTTAAATCGTGTTATAATTCCGAAACAAAAAACGTTCGTAAAGAAGTATCGAAATTTCGGTATTAATAAAACTCTTTTTGTTGGATAATTAAATGTTATGTGTAAGAAAATAAAAGAAACCAGAAACTACCATTGACTTACCTTACACACTTCTCACTGAGCTTAATGGTATATTATATTAACTCTGATTTTAACTTACATTTACTAATATTAACCTAACCTAACCCACGGCCACGAGTATAAATGTTAGAGAAAACGATACAAACTTCGTCACAGAGTAAACACTGATATCAACACCTCAACAGCGGCCAAACACAATAAAGACGCTAAGTAAAGGACTAAACAAAAAAAAACAATAAGCAGAAAGTAAACAACCATAAAATCACTCGAAATGTATATATTTGATGAAAAAAAACCCTCACTATAGACCACAACCCACCGATGCCTTCTACTCACAATGACAATTTTCCCGCCAACTCCAAGTAAGAAATCGCTACTCAGGCACAGTGTCCAGAATAAACCCTCAACACAGACTGTAAGTTATGACCCCAGGAGAAAGGTATTCAATCCACACAACCACACCACCAGGCAACCAAGTCACCGGCTACACACAACCACACCACCAGGCCACCAAGTCACCGGCTACACATAACCACACCACCAGGCCACCAAGACGGATGTGCTTGGATCTCGCCTGGGAGGTTGTGGGCCGTCAACACCTGCAACCAGAACACTTGTAAACTCTTGAGCGCAGTCTTGACTCTTGGAGCATCTTTCCCTCTCTGTGGTGCAGCTGACACGAGAGTTCTAAGTCCTGTAAGACACAACTTCTCATGCATAACTGTACCAGCTAAAGTACCCCGAGGTTTCTGTGCTTTACTGTACTACCTAACCATCAATGTACAGTATATGGCTAGTCTTGGAGGTCACTGTGGCTCGTAACTCCTCTTGGGTTACTATGGCTCGCAACTCATCTCGGAGGTCCTCTTAGTAATTCTATTGGGATCTTCGAGCCTTCACCGAGACAGCGTCGTTACAGCTGTTTTTGATTATAAATTAAGGGCCTCCAGCTGCCAGGGGTTATTAAGCTCCTCGCACACGTCTTAGTGCCTTACCACGGAGAAAATTAAAAACATTAACAAGCCACAAAGCCTTAGAGACGTGATATAAAGGTAGGATGCACTTAAGGCTACACTGAGATCTGTTGTGGTCGTGAGGCGAATTAACTCTCGGGGGTTTACTGAGCAGGCAGAATTCTTTTAAGTTGCTTTACCACTGAGGAGGATTAGGACGGCACAAAACAACGCCACTCTTAATACCGACGCCACGACCTAAGGTACAGTAGGTGTAATAAGCAGGAACGATATTTATGACAACGTTAAAGAGACTTGAGGCTGCTAAATAAGGCCTCACTGATGACCGGTTCTTGCTGTTATTCTGGTAATTATTTATGTCGATGTGAGGAATGACACTCTAATTATTTCTATCTGAGACTTAGAGATGGTGGTTATTATTGTGGGGGTGGAGGGATGGTGAGCTGGAGGGATGGTGATCTGGAGGGATAGAGAGGTGGAGGGGTGGAAGGATGGAGGGGTGGAGGTATGGTGAGCTGGAGGGATAGAGAGGTGGAGGGGTGGAAGGATGGAGGGGTGGAGGTATGGTGAGCTGGAGGGATAGAGAGGTGGAGGGGTGGAAGGATGGAGGGTGGAGGTATGGTGAGCTGGAGGGATAGAGAGGTGGAGGGGTGGAAGGATGGAGGGGTGGAGGTATGGTGAGCTGGAGGGATAGAGAGGTGGAGGGGTGGAGGGATGGAGGGGTGGAGGGATAGAGGGGTGAAGAGAGAGAGAGAGAAAATGGAGGGATTGAGAGATGGAAATGAGAGTTTACAGAGATATAACAATAAACGGAGGTAAGGACAACAAACACACTACCACCACTGGAACACACGACAAACACACGACAAACACACGACAAACACACGACAAACACCAACTGGCGTAACTCAAAAAAGTAGCCACAAGACAAATCCTTTCAATATCTCTATACGAAAACAGCGAAAAATACATTAATTCCAAAGGTATACATTGATTTCAGTGAAGATTTTTTTCCTCGATATCATTGCATCTAACTCCTAAATATTCAGATAACCAATCAGAAGGAAGGTATCACACTCCGCCTTGAAACTAAGGGGCATCAGCCAATCACGATTGAGACTCTAATTAATGGTCGGCATCCTATAATTTTGTCCTTTTGAGGAATACCTATGTCGATTTTATTTGTGTGTGTGTGTCCATTCGCATACTCTTGAGCCTGTGTATGTGTGTGCGTGTGTGTGTTTACGTGTGTGTGTGTGTTTGTATGTGTTTGCATGTGTGTTTACGTGTGTGTGTACTCAAAGCTTCACCAGACAATTGGTCGGCCACAGACACACTCAGCACACCGCCACCACACACGAGGCAGAAGACAACTGAGTGTAATGAACACTTACGTCCACAGCTGAGAGCTATAGATCCCTCGAGGTGTCCAACCCAACGTGCATCACAGTCCACGTAGAAAGAGTCAGTGTGTTCGGAAAGTCAGTCCCTGGATAGCCGAATGGATGAGAGTGTGTTAAAGATTGTTCGAACACAAACGTGGAGTGGTTAGGAAGATTTATGACGGCACGGTTTAAGGCAAAGGGAGCGAGAGGGAGACAGAGAAAGAGAATGGTCATATATTACGAGTGAGTTTAGTGAGGTCAAGGGGTGTTATGTTAGATGAGGGTGAAATAGTTATTGGATCGCTCACAGTGAAGACGTTGTATAGTGGCGAACATGACCGACCCTGACGACTCAGTTACACAGTCATGAAAAAATCTGTGAAAAATGGGAGAATATTTATTTTATTCACTTTTTGACGAACCAATTTAAATTCTGTTCACATTATTTATTTTAATTAATTCTTTTTGTCCCCAAGATGGTGACGTTGGCATCTTCTGTACTGTAGTTGTTTCTTATTGAATAGAATAATATGACTATGATTGAAAAATACCTGGAATTATAGGATGGTACTTTTTTTTATTTAGTGGACAGAAATAAAATTATGTAGCTATTATGAGAATATAAATACATTTTCGATTTTTAAAAATAAGTAAAACAGAAATTTTAATATTCATTTGTTGAACTGAAAAGGATAAGTTGAAAACACTGAAAATTTTTGGGAAACTTTTCTTTTTCTTTTTTTTTTATTTAACAGAAAGAAAATTGTTCATCATGCTAATGAAAATAATTGTTTGCCAGTAAGTGACCCAAATAACTGGTATTTTACGTTAGCCTTGTGAAGTCTTTCTCTCAGTGAACTTCAGTCTAGTATTTTTCATACACAGAGTATCTGTCCGGCGACCAAGGTTATTGTGCTGTGCGTAACAGCCTTGGACGGTCCTTGTTGAACCTCTACCCAGAGCTCCAGCTAATTCTCCCCTGTACTGTAATACCTGAGGTGGGGTGAAGATGCTGGTGGACACTAAACACAGCAGCTACAGATATATTTGAAGAAGAAAAAATTCAACCTTTACTATTTTAACACATCTTGGCCTGGATGATGACAGCATTTGGTGATATACTGTACAGAACATGGCTGACTCACCGACTGTCTTCTTCACATTTCAGCTCTGAATTGGGCTGCCACCGTAGTAGTTACTGGCAACAGTTACAACTTTATTGTCTCTCAACTATACATAAGAGACTCTCACGCTGACCTAGATCAAAAAGATTCTCTCTCCTG